CTATTCTTTCTGTTCAAATTATTGTGTCATTTCCGTCTCCTATTTGGACTCGGAATGGTTTATCTCTTTACTACCAACTGTGACTTTCAGGAAGGCAACATTTCATTTTATAAAATAAATGTAAAAATCTTCCTGGGGTGTAAAGGCTTTGCAGGCCATTAAAAGCTATTCAAGTAAGTTTATGTCTACTCCAACTCTTCTATCTTACAGGTTAGATACTTCATACTTAGAACTCCAAAATAACTCCTCTGGGGCACCTGAGTGGCTCAGTTGGTTGATGATGCAACTCTTGATTTTGGCTCAGGTCATAATCTTGGGGTCGTTAAGATCAAGCCCCACAACTGGCTCTGCACTTAGCGTGGAGTCCGCTTGAGAGTCTTTCCTTCTGTTCCTCTTCCTGCTCTCAGGCATGCTCTCTCTTAAAATTAAAAAAATATAATAAAATAACTTCCCCTCTGCTGGCTTACTTTTAAAAAAAAAAGTTTTATTTTAGAGAGAGGGAGCGTGAGCAGGAGGGGTAGAGGGACGGGGGAGAGAATCTCAAGCAGACTTCACGCTAAGCTTGAAACCTGACATGGGGCTTGATCTCATGACCCTGAGATCACAACCTGAGCAAAACAAGAGTCGGAAGCTTAACCAACTACACCACCCAGGTGCCCCTGGCTTTCCTATCTGTAACATATGGGAATGATTGAACTGGGAGCAGAACTCAGATCTCATCATATCCAACATAAAGCCTTTGCACTCCACTTTTACCATGCCTATTAAAATAGCAGCAAAAATGTACACTCTCAGAACAAGGTGAGGAACAACTTCGGTAAAATATAAAAATTCATAGAAATTAAAAAAAAAACACAAAAAACATTTTTTGAAGATCACGTTAAAGCCACAATACCCAAGAGGCCATGATACATCATTTTATAAAAATTTCTTTATAAAAGAAATTTAGTTTTCACTTGTTATCAAGCTGTCATCTCACTAGTAAATTTATACTTTAGCAAAATAATGCTAAAAATCAAAAAGGATCCATTTTACATTAATCCTCCTTTACATACAATATTACTTTAAACACTTAATATACTATTAATCTAGATTTAAATATTCAGAACTATAAAGTTTTGGGGAAATAATCTTAAGAATTTGTTAAAGGGGAGTAGGAAAAAAATTTTTTTAAGCCCGGTGGGTTTTCTTTATTTTAAGTAGGCTCCACGCCCAACATGGGGCTCTAACTCATGACCTTGAGATCAAGAATCGCATGCCCTACCAACTGAGCCAGCCAGGTGCCCCTTAAGCACTGTGTTTTGAAGCAAAGATTACTATTAACAAGGACCAAGACTCTAAAGCATTACCTGTTGTCTACAGAGCTGCCAGAAGATGTGGTACTTATGAATCCTCTATCTATTCCCTCTCAGAGTCAAAGACATGAGCATGTGTCCAACCCAGATCATATAAAACACAGCAAAGGGGGAAAGGGTGCAAGGTTTGAAACATGGTGGATGACGTGGACCAGCAACAAACTACCAAGACTGTAGAAGATCCCCTGGATCTCATCAGGCTCAGCCTGGATGAGCAAATTTATGTGAAAATGAGAAATGACAGAGAGCTTCGAGGCAGATTACATGCTTATGATCAGCATTTAAATATGATTATTGGGAGATGTGGGAGAAACTGTGATTACTATAGAAATTGATGAGGAAACATATGAAGAGATATATAAATCAACAAAACGGAATATTCCAATGCTTTTTGTCCGGGGAGATGGTGTTGTACTAGTTGACCCTCCATTAAGAGTTGGCTGAAACAAAGAATTTATCATATATGGAATATAGGAGCTTTTGTATGATTGCCTCTTTAAATGTAGAAGATATTCAAAAGAGAAACCTGCGTCAATTTTGATATTGAGAAGTGACCAAGGATTCTTCCACTCCTGAAATGAGTTGATTTGCGGATAACTCAAAAATTCTTAAGCTAGGGGCATCTGGGTGGCTCAGTCGGTTAAGCATCTGCCTTCGGTTCAGGTCATGATCCCAGGGTCCTGGGATCAAGCCCCGGCATCAGGCTCCCTGCTCAGCAGGGAGCCTTGCTTCTCCCTCTCCCACTCCCCCTGCTTGTGTTCCCTCCCTCGCTGTGTCTCTCTGTCGAATAAATAAAATCTTTAAAAAAAAAAAAATTCTTAAGCTAAAGGGCATTTTAATTTTTTTCCAACCCTTTCAATAAATGTGATCACCAAGATGCAGAACTCTTTTTTTCAGGAATTGATTTTTTCTGTTGTCTTCTCAGATAATTTCTGATTTTTTTCCTTTAAATTAAATTTGATGTTTCCTTTTTTGAAAACAAAAACAAAAACAAAAACCCAAAAAACACACAGCAAAGGATTTATAGATGGGAGCAAGAGTCAAAGTTCCCAACTTAGAGTTCTCAAACCTATGTAACCTCAGACATTCACTGCCCTCCATCCCCCACCTTTGAGAAAGAGAAAAATCTGGTTTGTTCCATGAAAAGTTCCATCTTAAAGAGAATAATCTATAAATAAAAAGTAGTATCAATCAGGAATAATAATCCACACACTGTGCATGAAATAAACTAAGTAATTCCAGTAGAAACAGTTTGAAACCGATTTGGTCTAAAAATACTCTAAATGAGTGGAGCTGCTATCGGTGATTGATTTTGCCAAGGTTAGTGAATTTAACCTTAATTTTAGAGGCTATCAACGAAGTCGGCGTATTTGGGAATCAGAACAAAAGACTATCTGTGGTCACAATGAAGTATTAAGTCTCTCAAACTAGGGAAAAGAGTAGCCTTGTCTGCTTTACTGACTGATTTTTATCAATCACTACAAATTAATGAACTACAATCACGGCGTATTACATAAAGAAATTGTAGCTGTAAGCTATATAAGAATAATCAAATGGATTTCCTTCACTTGAATATGAGCCATTTTGGTGCATAAATAATAAATTTACAGAAAAAAGGGAAAACGATTTTGAACGCTGACAACGTTTACGAAGAACCTCCCAACATGCCCGGCACATAACGAGCCCTTAGGAGTTAGTCTCTTGCATTTGCTAAGTGTTCTAGCTGGCAATCTGCTGTGCAGGGAGTGGGCCCCACACCCACCCCACTAACCTTTCTCTTCTGGGATACCATCTCCCATCATGTAGTCACTACAGGTACTCGGACACAAGTACAGCGCCTGCCGCAGCTCCAGGTTGAGAAACCACACTTGAAGAAACGTGTTGACGTAACAAGTAGCGCCAAGGTTAGTGAGGCCCACAAATGAGTTCTACAAAAATACAAAATTTACAATTACAAAATCAATTTCCCTGTACACACAAAAATTATAAGAGCAATTATTTTTTAAATTTCAGATAAAAAATTCATTACCACCACCCCAACCAACACGGCATAACCACGTACGGCTCTCTTGGCCGTGGGGAGGACATAATTTCATGACAGCCCCATCTCAGTTGGCTACAGGAGTGGGAAAGACTTAGGACAGCACATCCCCTGTCTAATAGCCTGCCTTCTCTGGCCACTTACATCTAAAATTAAAGCGGCGGATTAAAGCGGCGGGCTCCAGGCCAGATCCGTTCTGAACCTCTGTACATAGGGTTTTCATTTGCTCTAGTCCTAAACTGTCCACATTGAGGAGAATGACAAAATACAACTTCCACAAAAGTTCCTTTCTATCCTATAGATTAAGGAGAAATGAAGAAGGGGGAATTGGCTGCAACTTTTTCCAAAGATTGAGGATTCCTGAACTTACAAAGAATCATTCTTCTTAATACACAAAATATCTATATAGCTGACTATTTTGTGAATGCCAGGCTTTTCGGTTAGAAAATCTTAATGTGTGTTTTAAAAAAAAGTGAAATATTGGTTATACTTATAATATATAAAAATACAAGCCCAAGAAAGCATGATAGTATCACTATGGGAGCTTGGTTCCTTGACTTACCACTTGCTTTAAAGAGACGTTTTTAAAAACGAGTTCAAAATAAAACGAACAATATGAAAGCCAACAAAGAATCAGCATTTAAACTACAACTATCATCTAAAGGCTTGCTGGATTACATGGCCACCTGATTTAAAGCAATACCATTAAGAACTGTTCCAATTCAAGCAGTTTAAGTTCCACTGCTTATCTTCAAGCTGCATGGGTTTCCCCAAATCAGTAATAGTTTCTGATCACAGATGCAAAACAAAACAACAAAAACCCAGAGGAATACTCCCATAGCGATCACTTAAAAAAGGATGGCTTACCTTTTTTCTCCTCTCACAGTTGGGATCATCAATGTTATGGAAACTATTTTCATCTATTTCTCCTAACCAAATATGCTCACCAATACCAACCAAGCAATTCGGATTTCCTTTGCAGTTTCGTCTACAAAAAAATTATTGTTTGATTAAGAAATGCCAGAGTTCCATAAGAAAAATGCAGATTAAAACTATAATGATATAACATTATTTCATCTATTTCTCAACTACAAAATTAGGAGAACTAAGAAGATATAAAACCACGCTCACTTTAAGGCTGTGGGGAAACAACTCATTTACTGCAGAGAGAGTTCAAACTGGTAGTAGGGCTTTCAGGGAGAGGACTTTGCAATCTCTAACAAAACTACACATACAGGGGCGCCTGGGTGGCTCAGTCATTAAGCGTCTGCCTTTGGCTCAGGTCATGATCCCAGGGTCCCGGGGTCAAGCCCTGCGTCCGGCTCCCCGCGTCCAGCTCCCCGTGTCGGGCTCCCTGCTCCGCGGGAAGCCTGCTTCTCCCTCTCCCACTCCCCCTGCTTGTGTTCCCTCTCTCGCTGTGTCTCTGTCAAATAAATAAATCTTAAAAACAAACAAACAAACAAAACTACACATACAGCTTCCTTGTCACCCACCAATTCATTTTTTTTAACCAAGTAATATTTTTTTAACATTTTTATTTTGTTATGTTAATCACCATACATCATTAGTTTTTGATGTAGTGTTCTACGACTCATTGTTTGCGTATAACACCCAGTGCTCCATTCAGTACGTGCCCTCTTTAATACCCATCACCAGGCTAACCCATCCACCAATTAATTTCTGATGATTCACTGTGAAGATACATCTTTAAGAGTGCAGATATATCTGCACAAATAACACCTCGGTTAGTCATTACAGCACTGATTATAACTGTGAAATCCTGGAAAGCCAAATGACTCAACAGGGGACATGGTACCTAGGCACAACGGAGTACTATGCAACTGTAACAGGAAAATCACAGGACAAACCTTTATGGATGGATGTGGAGTCAGTTCCAGGATGTATCAGTAAGAAAGCAACACGCAAAACAGTATCTATAGTATGCTATTTCTTGTCTATACATGTATCTGCTCATTCGAACAAAAAGAAACCAAAAGGCTAAGCCAGAGACCAATAAAAGTGGTTACCTTCAGAACAGGAGAGGGTTTAGAGTAAAAACTGGACGGGTATGTGACACTTTTCTGAATATACCGTTCCATACACTGCTGAACTGGGGGGCCTCTGTCAATGTGACACACACACACACACACACACACACACACTCACAAGTAAGGATGGGAGGGCCCTAAATCCAACACAAACACATTTCAATTAAATAACATATCCACAACGAAGGGAAGGGGGGTGAGGAACTAACCCAAGTAACCTGAACCCAGTCAGTAGCAAGCTCATTTAGTAGTGTCCTCAGGCTAAGGATAAAAAGTACAAATTCCAAATCTTAATGACTTCCTTTTCATAACAATTCTAAAAAACTACTTTCCTTATATTCTATATTTAAACAAATAAGTAAATATAGTGGGGATAAAGGAAACCAAGGTTTGGAAAGTTACAAATAAGAAAGGGAGGAAGAAGAAAATGAAGCCTGCAGTTCTGCATCAGGAATAACAGACAAAAGCCTAAACTTGTAGGTAGATTAGGGTTGCCAGATAAACCAGAGAACAGTAGTTACTTGAATTTCAGATAAATGAGATATTTCTTTTTTTTTTTTAAGATTTTATTTATTTATTTGAGACAGAGAATGAGAGAGAGAGAGCATGAGAGGGGGGAGGGTCAGAGGGAGAAGCAGACTCCCTGCTGAGCAGGGAGCCCGATGCAGGACTCGATCCCGGGACTCCAGGATCATGACCTGAGCCGAAGGCAGCCGCTTAACCAACTGAGCCACCCAGGCGCCCTAAATGATATATTTCTAT